GGCTCCACCTCTTCCTATTAGGGCTCTGCCCACTGACAACGATGGGCCGCTATTCCTCCCACTGACACCAATAATGGGGCACTATTCCTCCCACTGATACCAATGATGGGGCACTATTCCCTCCACTGATACCAATGATGGGGCACTATTCCTCCCACTGATACCAATGATGGGACACTATTCCTCCCACTGACACCAATAATGGGGCACTATTCCTCCCACTGATACCAATAATGGGGCACTATTCCTCCCACTGATACCAATGATGGGGCACTATTCCCTCCACTGATACCAATGATGGGGCACTATTCCCTCCACTGATACCAATGATGGGACACTATTCCTCCCACTGACACCAATGATGGGGCACTATTCCTCCCACTGACACCAATGATGGGACACTATTCCTCCCACTGACACCAATGATGGGGCACTATTCCTCCCACTGACACCAATGATGGGGCGCTATTCCTCCCACTGATACCAATGATGGAGCACTATTCCTCCCACTGATACCAATGATGGGGCGCTATTCCTCCCACTGACACCAATGATGGGGCACTATTCCTCCCACTGATACCAATGATGGGGCACTATTCCTCCCACTGACACCAATAATGGGGCACGATTCCTCCCACTGATACCAATGATGGGGCGCTATTCCTCCCACTGATACCAATGATGGGACACTATTCCTCTCACTGACACCAATGATGGGGCACTATTCCTCCCACTGACACCAATGATGGGACACTATTCCTCCCACTGATACCAATGATGGAGTGCTATTCCTCCCACTGACACCAATGATGGGACACTATTCCTCCTACTGACACCAATGATGGGGCACTATTCCTCCCACTGACACCAAAGATAGGGCACGATTACTCCCACTGACACCAATGATGGGGCACTATTCCCCCACTGTTACCAATGATGGGGCACTATTCCTCCCATTGACACCAATGATGGGGCACGATTACTCCCAGTGACACCAATGATGGGGCACGATTACTCCCACTGACACCAATGATGGGGCACTATTCCTCCCACTGACACCAATGATGGGGCACTATTCTTCTTCCCACTGACACCAATGATGGGGCACTATTCCTCCCACTGACACCAATGGACACGTCATTGGTGTCAGTGGGGGGGGGTATAGTGTCCCAACATTGGTGTTAGTGGGAGGAATAGTACCCCATCATTGGTGTCAGTGGGGGAAGGAATAGTGTCCCATCGTTGGTGTCAGTGGGGGGAGGAATAGAGCCCCATCGTTGGTGTCAGTAGGGGGAGGAATAGTGCCCCATCGTTGGTGTCAGTGGGGGGAGGAATAGAGCCCCATCGTTGGTGTCAGTAGGGGGAGGAATAGTGCCCCATCGTTGGTGTCAGTGGGGGGAGGAATAGTGCCCCATCGTTGGTGTCAGTGGGGGGAGGAATAGTGCCCCATCATTGGTGTCAGTGGGAGGAATAATGCCCCATCATTAGTATCAGTGACACCAATGATGGGGCACTATTCATCCCACTGTCACCAATGACACTTAACTTGCTGACCCCTGCTCCAGCCTAAGTGCTGCTGCAGCCAGCATACCTGGTTGCAGCAGCACCATCAGCACGGCACACTTACCGGGCGGTCAGCTGTCCTGCTTCATTCACTCCGGGCGCTCCCTCACTCGATGTTCGTGGGGCCGCTCGGCTCTGCCTCCTCGCCGGTGATTGGCCGCCTGTGTGCCTTTCCCGAGCTACAGTTCTGGCGCCCAATCACCGGTGAGGAGGCGGAGCCGAGCGGCAGCGCGAACATCGAGTGAGGGAGCGGCTGGAGTGAATGAAGGAGCAGCGCTTCCCGGACTGGATCGTCGTGGGACTGGAGCCAGGTAAGACACAGCAGCCCCCTGCCCGCCCCTGTACTTAGTGTCCCTACCGCGCCGCGCCGCCCCCCCCCTAAAAAATGCCGCCCTAGGCAAACGCCTTGTTTGCCTCTCGGCAAATACGCGCCTGGTAGGGAGGCCAGTAATAAGTACCATTAAGGCCGGGTTCACACTAATGCCGTGCGGTCCATCACATGTGATTCACACAGGAACCGCACCGCTTTCCTCTGCAAATCACATACGAATTCTGTGCGGTGCAATTGGAGCCATACATTATATATGGCTCCAATCGCACCACATCCGCACCAAAAAGGTGCAGGACCATTTTTTGGGTCCACACTAAAGTTAGATCGCATGGGTATTCACACCTATGAGATCCGATTCTGCACATCGCACCGCGTTTTGTGGAACGATGTCGAAGTGTTGTTAACTTACCATACACACCCACAGCAGTTCGCATGAATGGAAAAAACAGCACACATCTCTCTTAGAAGGTTCTCCCAAAATACATAGCAGACCCCTGGAGGGGGTCTGTGTGTGTTTTTTTTTTCACCCCTTCCAATACAGACACTTTCACCCCCTTCCAGTCCGGACACTTTCATCCCCTTCCAGTCGAGACACTTTCATCCATCTTCCAGTCCGGACACTTCCCCCCCCCCTTCCAGTCCGGACACTTCATCCCCCTTCCAGTCCAGACACTTTCACCCCCTTCCAGTCCGGACACTTCCCCCCCCTTCCAGTCCGGACACTTTCATCCCCCTTCCAGTCCAGACACTTTCACCCCCTTCCAGTCCAGACACTTTCCCTCCCTTCCAGTCTGGACACTTTCCCCCCCTTCCAGTCCAGACAGTTTCACCCCCTTCCAGTCTGGACACTTTCACCCCCTTCCAGTCCGGACACTTTCCCCCCCCCCCATCCAGTCCGGACACTTTTCACCCCCTTCCAGTCCGGACACTTTCCCTCCCTTCCAGTCTGGACACTTTCCCCCCCTTCCAGTCCGGACACTTTCCCTCCCTTCCAGTCCGGACACTTTCACCCCCTTCCAGTCCGGACAGTTTTACCCCCCTTCCAGTCCGGACACTTTCCCCCCCTTCCAGTCCGGACACTTTCCCTCCCTTCCAGTCCGGACACTTTCAACCCCTTCCAATCCGGACACTTTCCCCCCCTTCCAGTCCAGACACTTTCCCCCCCCTTCCAGTCCGGACACTTTCACCCCCCCTTCCAGTCCGGACACTTTCACCCCCTTACCAGTCCGGACACTTTCACCCCCTTCCAGTCCAGACACTTTCCCCCCTTCCAGTCCAGTCCCAGTCCGACACTTTCCCCCCTTCCAGTCCGGACTTTCACCCCCTTCCAGTCCGGACATACTTTCACCCCCTTCCAGTCCGGACACTTTCACCCCCTTCCAGTCCGGACACTTTCACCCCCTTCCAGTCCGGACACTTTCCCCCCCCCTTCCAGTCCGGACACTTTCCCCCCCCTTCCAGTCCGGACACTTTCCCCCCCCCTTCCAGTCCGGACTTTCACCCCCCCCTTCCAGTCCGGACACTTTCACCCCCCTTCCAGTCCGGACACTTTCAACCCCTTCCAGTCCGGACACTTTCCCCCCCCCCTTCCAGTCCAGACACTTTCCCCCCCCTTCCAGTCCGGACACTTTCACCCCCTTCCAGTCCGGACACTTTCACCCCCCTACCAGTCCGGACACTTTCACCCCCTTCCAGTCCAGACACTTTCCCCCCCCCTTCCAGTCCGGACACTTTCCCCCCTTCCAGTCCGGATACTTTCACCCCCTTCCAGTCCGGACACTTTCACCCCCTTCCAGTCCGGACACTTTCAACCCCCCTTCCAGTCCAGACACTTTCCCCCCCTTCCAGTCCAGACACTTTCCCCCCTTCCAGTCCGGACACTTTCACCCCCTTCCAGTCCGGACACTTTCACCCCCTACCAGTCCGGACACTTTCACCCCCTTCCAGTCCGGACACTTTCACCCCCTTCCAGTCCTGACACTTTCCCCCCCTTCCAGTCCGGACACTTTCCCCCCTTCCAGTCCGGGCACTTTCACCCCCTTCCAGTCTGGACACTTTCACCCCCTTCCAGTCCGGACACTTTCCCCCCCTTCCAGTCCAGACACTTTCCCCCCTTACAGTCCGGACACTTTCCCCCCTTCCAGTCTGGACACTTTCCCCCCTTCCAGTCCGGACACTTTCACTCCCTTCCAGTCCGGGCACTTTCACCCCCTTCCAGTCCGGACACTTTCCCCCCCTTCCAGTCCAGACACTTTCCCCCCTTCCAGTCCGGACACTTTCCCCCCCTTCCAGTCCGGACACTTTCCCCCCCCCCCATCCAGTCCGGACACTTTCACCCCCTTCCAGTCCGGACACTTTCCCTCCCTTCCAGTCTGGACACTTTCCCCCCCTTCCAGTCCGGACACTTTCCCTCCCTTCCAGTCCGGACACTTTCACCCCCTTCCAGTCCGGACAGTTTTACCCCCCTTCCAGTCCGGACACTTTCCCCCCCCTTCCAGTCCGGACACTTTCCCCCCTTCCAGTCCGGACACTTTCAACCCCTTCCAATCCGGACACTTTCCCCCCCCCCTTCCAGTCCAGACACTTTCCCCCCTTCCAGTCCGGACACTTTCACCCCCCCTCCAGTCCGGACACTTTCACCCCCTTCCAGTCCGGACACTTTCACCCCCTTCCAGTCCAGACACTTTCCCCCCTTCCAGTCCGGACACTTTCCCCCCTTCCAGTCCGGATACTTTCACCCCCTTCCAGTCCGGACACTTTCACCCCCTTCCAGTCCGGACACTTTCAACCCCTTCCAGTCCGGACACTTTCCCCCCCTTTCCAGTCCAGACACTTTCCCCCCTTCCAGTCCGGACACTTTCCCCCCTTCCAGTCCGGATACTTTCACCCCCTTCCAGTCCGGACACTTTCACCCCCTTTCCAGTCCGGACACTTTCAACCCCTTCCAGTCCGGACACTTTCCCCCCCTTCCAGACCAGACACTTTCCCCCCCCTTCCAGTCCGGACACTTTCACCCCCTTCCAGTCCGGACACTTTCACCCCCTACCAGTCCGGACACTTTCACCCCCCTTCCAGTCCAGACACTTTCCCCCCTTCCAGTCCGGACACTTTCCCCCCCCTTCCAGTCCGGATACTTTCACCCCCCCTTCCAGTCCGGACACTTTCACCCCCCTTCCAGTCCGGACACTTTCAACCCCTTCCAGTCCGGACACTTTCCCCCCCTTCCAGTCCAGACACTTTCCCCCCCTTCCAGTCCGGACACTTTCACCCCCTTCCAGTCCGGACACTTTCACCCCCTTCCAGTCCGGACACTTTCACCCCCTTCCAGTCCGGACACTTTCACCCCCTTCCAGTCCGGACACTTTCCCCCCCTTCCAGTCCGGACACTTTCCCCCCTTCCAGTCCGGGCACTTTCACCCCCTTCCAGTCTGGACACTTTCACCCCCTTCCAGTCCGGACACTTTCCCCCCCTTCCAGTCCAGACACTTTCCCCCCCTTCCAGTCCGGACACTTTCCCCCCTTCCAGTCTGGACACTTTCCCCCCTTCCAGTCCGGACACTTTCACTCCCTTCCAGTCCGGGCACTTTCACCCCCTTCCAGTCCGGACACTTTCCCCCCCTTCCAGTCCAGACACTTTCCCCCCCTTCCAGTCCGGACACTTTCCCCCCCTTCCAGTCCGGACACTTTCCCCCCTTCCAGTCCGGACACTTTCACCCCCTTCCAGTCCGGGCACTTTCACCCCCTTCCAGTCCAGGCCAATTTTCAGCTTTCAGCGCTATCACACTTTGAATGACAATTGCGCGGTCATGCAACACTGTACCCATACAGGCATACCTGTTGATTTCTCACTGTTACTATGTAGCAGTGCAAATTTAAAAAAAAAAAAAAAAAAAAAGCACAGTGTTTTCCACATTGTATCAACCTGCTATACAACACTGATCTTGCTTCTCATGGGAATAATCTCATATTAACCTTTCAGAACATGACAGTAATAAAGTGATATTTAAACCAAAAGCAAACATTTTGTTGCAGGTAAACAACAAATCACCACTGTATATTCTCTGGTGTATCTTTAGCTGAACTCATTAGATGAGTTAATTATATTTTCCCCTTGACGATTGTTTAATTAGTTACATTACAATGGCCTGGAGGTTTGAGCGGTATCATTTCTGGAGTTCACATTTATATGAACAAATGAATTCACATACACCAATCAGCCATAATATTATGACCACCTGCCATAACCCATTGAGGCATGGACTCCACTAGACCGCTGAAGGTACGCTGTGGAATCTGCCATTAACCCCTCCCCCTCCTGAGGATTTACCCCCCTTCCTGACCACGCCTCTTTTTGCTACTCAGCGCTGCACTAATTCAACTGATAATTGCGCGGTCATGCAATGCTGCAGCCAAACGAAATTTACGTCCTTTTTTTCACACAAATAGAGCTTTCTTTCGGTGGTATTTGATCACCTGTGCGCTTTTTATTTTTCACGCTATAAACAAAAAAAGACCAAAAATTTTGAAGAAAAAGAATATTTTTTTTACTTTCGCTATAAAAAATATATAGTAAACTCAAAGTTAGTTATAAATTTCAGCCAAAATGTATTTCTGCTCCATGTTTTTGGTAAAAAAAAATCCCAATAAGTGTATATTGATTGCTTTGTGTG